GAGAGAGAGAGAAAGAAAGAAAGAAAGAAAGAAAGAAAGAAAGAAAGAAAGAAAGAAAGAAAGAAAGGAAGGAAGGAAGAAAGGCTCAGAAAGATTAAATAACTAGTCCTGGGTCACATAGCTAGTAAGTTGTAAAACCAAGACTCAAACTCCATTTTCTTTCATTCAAACACAATATCTCAACTCTTTCAACTATAGTTTATGTTTCTCAAATGTCTACAAAAGTTCTCCTAATAATAGCACAGAGTGACCTGGGTTCATTGTGCAAAAAATGACATTTATCAAACATAAAATTTAAGGTACCTTGTCTTCTTTTGGAAATTCACTTAAATTTTATATTCTGTAATGTACCTATATACATTTTAATTTAAAAAGAACGCAGCCTTTCCTCAAGGAGAAAAAAATTGGGGGGCCAAAACATGAAGTATTAGTGTACCAGAAAGATGCACCCCGAAGTTTTTCCAGTGGTTTTAGTGTACTCCTTGACACCTAGGCAGATATCATTGGGATACTTATTCCCCAGTGTAAGAAATGCCACAGCCAAAATGCTGCCTTTGCACAAGGAAAGGAAAAGAATGCAGTTCCCCAAGGAGTTTCTCCCTCCCACCAAGTCAACATGTCTTTCACATCTTAAACTGGACTACTTTTTAATCGCCTATGACTTACCCACATGGTAGTTGAGCCTCTAACTTTTACATGTTATTGGCTAAGATAAAGACCCAACATCCATCGCCTATCAGTAAAGTGCAGTGCTTATTTCATGTGACTGCAGAGTCTTTACGGTGTAGCAGAGGAACTAGCTTTGGATAGAGTCTGTATTTAACTTCCTCTAATAAACAGAAAATTTTCTCATCCATTAAAAGCGTTAGAGAATAAGGTGCTCTTTTGGGGGCTGATTATCAAAGTACCTCATGTTTCAAGACAATTGCTGCAGTGGTTTTACTTAACATAGTGGTAGTTATCTTGCTACAACTGTACACCATAAGCAGTAGATCTTACTACCAGTACTGATCTCAGATAAGATGCCACAGAGTCTAACGGATCAACATCCCTTTTTCTTAAGAGTCACTAAACAAACATTTCAAAGTGGGTTTTATTTTGATGGTCCCTCCATGTTATATTGTCTATGTTATTCATAAAATCCATCTCATTTAGCATTTTATAAATATGTGTTAAATGTTTAAGTATGGATTTGGAAAGTATTTTAGAGGATGCTATGCAAGCTAAAATATCAGAATATTCAAGGACCACTGTGTCAAAAGGATATTAGCAAAAAGGAGATCTCCCTGACCACTTGTTGTTTGCTAGCTAGCACACTGCCATAGAAATAATCACAACTTTAAATTATCTTGCTTGTTTACTTACTTTATTTCTCCATCTCCATCCACCCAATAAAGATAGAAATTTCACAAGTAAGTCTGAAGGTTTATATCTATCTTTTTCAATTTCTATATCTCCAACTCCTTTTACTCTGCATGGTTCATAGTAAATATTCAGTAAATATTTGCTGAATGAATTAATCAAAAGTGATGTCTTTCCTACCTCTGTTATTGTAAGAATGAAGCCTCTCCATTCTTCCCCACTCTCTGTGTTCTCCGTCTAAAGATAAAGACAAAGAAGTCTTTATGCATGACTATGAGTGTTAATATTTTTATTAATTTCAAATAACTTCCCAATTTCATGATTGTTTGAAAAAAATCAAAATATGTATGCCATCAAAAATCAGCAAGATCAACAAAAATGCGTAGTCTTCTATTGAAGCACATTGTTTTAAAAAGTCAATTGTAATTTTAAACCACTTAGAATCAGTTGAATAAACAACTCATTTTTCTTTTTGTGTAGAACTACTAAAGTGTATTTGTTATGAAATATTTCAATATTGTTTTCTTTTATCAGAAGACAGAGTACATATCTTTTGATTAGTAAACAAGTAAAAGTATACCAATTTACTTAACTCAAAAAATTTAAATGTTAGCACACTTACTTCTGCAGTATGTCAATTTATGGTTAATCCCCCAATTGGTATTTAAAAATGACTGGCTTTAAATATGGGGCAACCACTGTGGTTAGTCCTTAGAAATTTACAATTGTTAGCTCTAAAAAGTACAAATATGACCAACACTTATTAAGTGCTTATAAGTAGCACCTACTATTCTATTCGCATGCATTATCTGATTTAATCTTCATGGCAACTCCACAAAAGGTACTATCAATTTTTTTTTAGATTTAATTATTTAACAGGTGTCTATTGAGTGCCTTTTAGTGCTAGGCACTATTCTAGTACTGGTTTACGGTGTAGCAGGGTACATTTAATAATAAACATAATAGTAAATTTTATGGTGTCAGAAGGAAATAAATGGGAAGATAAAATCAAGGTAAAAAGAGATTGAGAATGTCATGGAGGGGGAAAGTGTTGCCATTTTAATGAAGTAGTCCAGGTAGATTTCAGTAAGAGGGTTACATCTGAGCAGACTTACTACCAGGTGTAGAAACCAAGGCACAAAGAACTTAAGTAACTTATCTACAATCACACAACTAATGAATAAAACAACCAGAATTCAACCTAGGCTCCAGTCCTGCCTATACTCTTAACCACCACATCAGAATCATCTGCGGAGGGAGCTTGCTTAAAATGTAGATTCTGAGACCCAGGTTTATTGGGTGGGGCTTGGAGTTCCTAAGTACAAGTGATTTGTAGCACACTAAATCTTAATGACCAGTGCTTTTAAGGTCAGCTCCAATTGCATCTTACTCTATTGCAAGTTGTTTGCTTTGTTTTTACTGTAGTTGTTTGTTGACTAGAATTGGCTCACTTTGAGTGATGAATGTACCAATTTCTGCTGGTTTGGAGTTTAGAGTTTTAATTAATAGATATTAATACCATATTTTACAAATTGTGTATATGCAAGATACAGTTCTTTTTCAAATTTTTCTAATTGTCTCAATAATGTTCTTTGTAGCTTTTGGTTTTTGTGTGCTTACTTGTTTGTTTTCTTCTTTTCTAATTCAGGATCCAATCCAGATCACACATTGCGTTTAGTTATCATGACTCTATAGTTTCTGTAATTGGAACAGGTGTCCAGTCTTTCTTTGGCTTTTCTCACACTGGTGGTTTTTAAGAGTATAGGCCAATTGTCTTGCAGAATGTCCCTCAATTTGTGAAATATGGGTTTGTCTAATTCAGTAGTTCCAAACATGTAATATGTTGGACATGTCACAGGATCATCTGGGAACTTGGTAAATACCAAGTTCTTGAATATCAATTCAAGGAGAACTTTTATAAACACCAGGTGGGATCTCTGACTTTGTCACAGGACAGAGTATTTGGTTTCAATGTGCTTGTATACTAAACAAGTGAACATGCCCTTTTAAGTTCTTATTTAGAAAACTATAGTTCTTGGCAAAAGGCAAGAAATATTAAAGTATAGGAGTTGGCTCTCCCATAACCCCTCTTTACCTCAACCACTAGGCTGTGAAGAGGTGAATGCTATTTATAACCACATCTTGTTTCAGAATAGTTGCATCTCCTCACTCACCTTCAGTTGCACTTCTTCTTTTGGCAAAACAAGGGTGAATTTTGCACAATTTTTATCAGTTGAATTCTGCTCATTAAGGCATGTGAGGTCTATTATGTCTAGCTTGTCAACATACTGCAAAGATAAAGGGAAATCTCATTAAATTATTTCATGGGTGACACACAGTAATTTTAGTAGGAAGGAAAGCAAATAATATCTTCCTTTCAACTGATTTATACTTTGCATGATACTCTGGTTTTCATTGTGTCACCCCTTCCCAACTCAGAGGGCATGTGGAAATGTATTGTGTGGTGGTGTGCTGGTGCTGGCTTATACGGGTTTGCAAAAGCTCATTTGTTACATTTTCAGGAATTTTGCTAGCTGGTTGTTAAACCCAGTTATTATTAAAAGTTAAATTAAATGAACATATAAGTAAATAAATTAACTTTCAAAGAGGGTAATGAAAATTCAAAATTAATCATTTTCTGATTACCACATAATATTCTCTATGCTCTTAAAGTTATTTACGTCTTCATTTCTGTGTGTTAAACACATTATATAATGGTGTGCTACCTAGCCTTTCTTCCCACCTCCACATTTAGTGAGGTCACATGATAGGTTAAAATCAGCCATGGTGGGAGTATTTACTAGTACACCATGGAAATTGGCAAACCTTACAAATTAGGGCTTGATTTATTATTTTATTAATTGACCCAGAGGCCAGCAATTTTTTTCTTCAAAGACCAGGTAGTAAATGTTTTGGGTTTTGTGGACCACAAAAAGTCTCTGTTGGAAATTTTTTTATAACACTATATAACTGTAAAAACATTCTTAGCTTATAGAATGTACAAAATTGGGCCACAGGCTAGATTTGGCTCAAAGGCTATAGTTTTCTGGTCTGGTCTAGACTTAAGAAAGTGAAGGAGAAAATGTTAATAATGCAAATGAAACTTTAAAGTTTGTTGTGTCTAAAACTTTATTTTGAACAAAAAATTGACAAAATATTATTCTATAATTCTAAAACTGTTATTCAACAAAGAGGTGGCTCATGTCATTGAAAAGTAGGTGAAGTTCTGACATACATAATTGTCTTACTTTCCTCTTATTTATTAATGTAAACAAAAATATTAGCCAACAATGTCAGATATCATATTTAATGACAATAAATTTATTAGAAAACAACTCCATTTGTTATATCAGGATTGAATTGCAATTCTGATATGCATTCAGAAAATTAACAAAAACATTTTATGAGAATCAACTGCTTTATTTGAAAATTAGAATAAAGAGTATTATGTATTTTAACTGTGCTATGCATTCTTTATGTAAGTAGTATTTATAATAAATTTATATACATATATTCATACATATATTTTTTTCCAGGAAGCCATTATTCAACTCTTACCACATACTACTGGTTATGAGGATTCTATTAAAAAATTTCTATCTTATTGCAGTGCAATAAAAATATTTCTTCTGAGTAATTAGTCTACATGGCCCGGTTTGTATGTAACTAGCCAGACTTACTCTCTAGTATTAGAAAGGTTAAGACCACCTCTAGATAGGATAGTAGGGTTTGTATGGTATAATTTTTTTGCTAAATTAACCTCATTCTTGACTTTATTTTTTCTCCTTTTATTTTTCTCCACTATGCCTAATATAACTTATTTTACTATATTCTTATAAGACTTAAATTATTTTTCTGAATAAAGTAGGACATAAAAATAGTAAATAATTCCCAGAGTTATTTCTATGTTGATAAAGTTGAGGTTACATTTGGGTCGGCCTATTTATTTTCAATGAACAAAGATACATTAAACATAGAAGGAGAGGTATAAGGGAAAGAGGACAGAATTTAAAATTACACAAGAATCTTTTTCTGATGGATTGTCTAGATTAAGCTCAGTGAATTTTGCTGAGACAGAGGAAGCAACAAAGGAAGAAGTGGCCCAGTTAGATAGAGTGCCTGTACGCTGATCTATTGATTAGAAAAAAAGGAAGTCATATCTTTTTGTTTTTAATTGTAACATTGAAAAAAGCCTTTAAGGTCATCTGTCTAATCTAGCTACTATCCAATGCTTGAATCTTCTCCAGGCTATCCCTCTATGTAGTCATCTAGCCTATGTTGAACATCTCAAACATGGAATTTATGCATCTATGCAGATTTGCCTGTCAGCAAGTTTTTTTTTCTTATGTTAAGCCACAGTTTTCCTTTAGGCAATTTTCATCCATTAATCTTAGTCTCTTTGCAATAACACTAAACAAGTTCGGTGACTCTTTCATATGATCTCCTGACAGCCTTTCAGATACTTAAATGCAGCTATAAATTCTTCCCTATCATAGGCCGAATAGCTACAGTTCTCACCTGTTTCATTCCTGTAATTTCTCTTGTTCCCAAAATTCTGCATCCTCTTTTAATACAATTGGTAGATGGGCAATTCTGCATCATTTTATTATAACAGTCTCTTCATGGCATGGTAGTTAAGAATGCTACCTCAGGAGCAAGACTTGGATTGTACCCCTTGCATTAGCTGTCTGATCTTGTACAATTTCTTAATCTTTACACTTGACTATTCAGTTCTATAAAGTGGGGGTTAAAATAGTGCCTACTTTGCATTTTTGTTGTGAGAATTAAATTAGATAATACAAATAAAATGCATGAATGCTCTCTATGTGCCTTACATTTTCTATCTCATTTAATCCTTTTTATAACCTTATGAGATAGGCTATTTTTTATCCTAAGTTTAGAGATTTGAAACTGAGTGTGTTGGAGATCTTTTATTTGCTCCTCTAGATTCACTTTTATCCCTTCATCACCCAACACTGTGCACCATAGCAGGAACCATTGTGGACAACATTATGGGCACGCTTACCCTTTGATTTCCTGCTGGGTTGGACAGCTGGTGAACATTGGCACAAGATAGAAGAGTGAAGAGAGTGAAGTCAAGTATTTATTACCCTATGCAATTGCTTCCTCAATCCAAGATCATACTCCTCTCAAGATAGTCATCTTCATATAACTCTCCCCACTATTCTCACTTTCCTTTACACCCTGGCATGGTAATGGGGCACTGTTACTAGTCTCAGGGTTCTGTACTAACCTTTGTGGTTTTTCTACATCCTGGCCACTGCTTTGAGTATTGCATCTTTATTAAACTCTCTTCAAATTGCCCAATTTGAGATATCAACTGTTTCCTACCAGTTCCCTGTCTGATACACTGAGACACAGAGAGGTAAGTTAAGCAGCCCAAGAGACCAAGTTGACAGAGTGAACAGGGCAGGAACAGGATAAAAACCCAGGTAGTTTACCTGAAGACCAGGCTCTTATCACTAAGCTGTACTGCCTCTTACAGTGAAGAATAACTATTAACTTTCTCACTCAAAATGTGTGTTATACAAGGGCTAGTACAGGGTCTTCATAATTTCACTGACATCAGTGAGAAGTTGGAAGGCAAAACAGAGAAATTAGTTTTGTTAAAATTTATTACAGTTTTGGAAACACCTTTATATAAATCTTATCTATCCAGAACTCTGGTGAAAGATAACTATTTTCTTTTTTAATGACTTCTGGTTAGTCTACCACTAATGGTGCTGAAATGCCTGCAGGTGGAATAGAGACTCATTTTCTGTTTCTTTCATAAGATCTGGATATGTAATAATGACATTTTAAGGCAACCACATCCATGGTCCAAAATGTTTTTATTTAAACAAGTTACAGGGTCATAAAATCTATTATAAGTATAGCATTTCAAGGTAAGCAACCATTTGCTACTAAAATGCATTTTATTTGTGTGTGTGGGGAATGAAATACAATCACCTTTCAATTTTTATGTGTGGAAAAATTAAAATACAAATCAATTATTTGAAATTAATATAAATAAATAAATTTCATAATCTCTTCATTGTTTTTCTCATGCTTGAGCTCTTAGAAGTCCTGTTTGGTGAGGCATGCTTTTGTCTTTCCAGAAAAAATATAGTGACATATTGTATGTTGTTAAGCTTTAGGGATCATCTATTTTCTTTCAGATTATAACTGCATGTGACAACAAGGAGGGAAATTAAGGTTATCACTTGGTATTAAGCAATTGTGTCCATATGAATAGCTAAAATTTCCACTTTTCAACCAAGTATTCTACTCGGGATCAGAAAGAAAAGAATGCAAAGTTTAAAATATGAGTTAATACCTTCTTCTGAGTTGCCCAAAAATTTATTACCATGGGTTTTATAATTAATAGCCCTCGCAGATAGAAATATTCTTATTTGAATTGATTTTACTACAACATTTTTACCCTTAAAAGACAGAAAATCCCAAATGAATAATAAACTACATGACAAGTGTATATTGGTGGAAAAAATTGAATCAGCTGAATATGTTTAACTACTTACTATTGTGCTTTTTTTGTCATTATAAAAGAAAAGGGTAGTTCCTCTCAACTCTGTCCAATATTGTTTATATTCCTGTGGGAAAGAAATTATAAGCATCAGTGTAATATTCAGCTACTTTCCTATTGATATTTTACTTTGTAACTTGCTTAATTGCTGTGAGATATGAGGATTCTTTATCCTGAGATAAATCACCTAATTTTTATGGCTTAATTTTACATTTAATTCTTGATTAAATTTTTCACAAATTTATTTTAGTATAAGATGTGAGGTAAGGCCCTGGCCAGGTGGCTCAGTTGGTTGGAGCATAGTCCCATATACTAAAAAGGTTACAAGTTCAATCCCTGGTCAGGAAGCTGCTGGTAGGCAACCAATCAATGTTTCTCTCACATTGATGTTTCTCTCTCCCTCTCTCTCTAAAATCAATAAACATATACTTGGGTGAGGATAAAAAATAAAAAGATGTGAGGTAAAGATGTAGTTTGATCTGTGATTAAATACAGCATTTACCAAAACTTTTCTCATTGATTTGAGACATTCTATTTTCATGCAGTTTCAGTGGAAGCTTGCACCTGTAAGAGGGGCCACTTAAGAGGCCAGGATAGAACACAGGACAAGCATAAGCATTTAATATCTCCCTTCTAGGACTGTGGAAAGGATTGTATAAACTAATACATGTACAGCACATAGCATAGCACATGACTCATAGTTTGAATTCAATAAGTCACACATAGATCAAGGAAATGTGAGCAATTGATAATGATGAAAATAACACCATCAAAGCTGAACTTGGAAGTTTAAATTTCATTCCTGTGGTGAACATTTTATTATTAATACCAGCAGACCCTGAGCAACAGATGAATGGATTACTCTGACACATGTTTCTGTGAAAGAGAAGGCTAAAGGGCTGCTTGGCAGGAGGTACCAAAACAGCTCCGATTGCCTGCCTCCTTTGAGCTTTTATTGCAACAACAGCTTGAACTAAAATTAACCTCAAGATACAATCAGCAGGATAATTATCCTTGAAAAAGCACATGATTCTACAAGGTCAGGTCTAAAAGACTAAACAGAGATTCCAGCAAAACACTCGGGGGCTCAGACTTGTTTGGAAAAGTCAAGGCAGGGGCTGCCACCTTTGGCAAGAATCTTCCTTACACACTTTCCAACCAAGCCCCATGCTTCCCCACACATTCACATTTTATTATTAATACATTCACAACTTTTTAAATTAAAAAAAATGTAAATAACCCATTCAGACTCTCATTTCACCCAAGTGCAAGTTTATTTAAATAAGGGGAATTTATATTCTATGAAGATTGTCTGTATTACAAAAGAATGGCAAGGGGGTTTAAGAAATAAAATCCTTCCACATCTAAGGACTTATCCTCATACACAGATCTTTCCAAAAGTATGTTTTAAAACATTCTAGTCAGTTGCATGGACATGTTGATCATTCCTTCCTTTAGGGTTTAATAAGCTGAATTTCTATGACATATTGGATTATCTGAACTTATACTGAGAATTAACGTAAGAAAGTCACATGAAGAAATTTTTTTATTTGTTTATAAATGTGAAAACACTTTTATATATTACTAGAGGCCCGGTGCACAAAAATTTGTGCACTCAGGGGGG